ACCAGATTTTCAAATAGTTGTATCTCGGCCAAATATTGTCCTATCCTAACAAACCATACATCAATGGAAAGCGTATTTATTTGACAAATTGACACTTAAGACTGGTTTTGTGGTCCAGGGTCACACATATTTCAATGCAGAAATGTTAGCAATGTTGTCTGTTCTCTTAATTATGATGGTGTGTAATATCACTCCATTTTTAGTTCCCTATGATACCATGAAATGGCTGGGGTGAGAGGAATAAAGACCAGGCTGGCATGGCACAATGCATGACTCTCCAGAAGCAATGATTAAATGTGCCGCTTTTTTCAATCCCATTTTGTACACTTGAAACTTGTCATTGGCCTAGTAGTTTGGTTGAAGTTCTCACAGCTTGACGTTTTTCATGCCTGCTTCCTTGCAGGAAGTGCACCTGGTATTTTATAATTTAGTGCACGTTTCTTTTGTAGCTTGTGCTGTTCCATTTCCTGTTCCAGTGTCCTTGGTTCTAGACTTAGCTGAGCACAGCGGGAGCAGTGCTTCCCATTTTAACCACCATACAGGCAGAAGGTTACATGCTCTTGTGCACCAGGACTAGGAGGAAATTATTTGCTCTGTATAAATTTAGAGAGAAATGTTTGGTATTGTTATAATCCGTCTCCCATTCCACAATTCGTTTCCTATTATTTTGATAGTCATACAGGCTAAAAGCCTGTCATATATGCCTGGAACTGCTCAGCTGTGTGTGACGGCTGCAGGTCGATGTTATGCTTTGTACATTGTGCAGAACCTGTGTAATATGGATATAACAGAAGAAAGCTGAGTGTTTCTGTTAAAACTGACATGGTCTTAAAATAAGTATGAATTGCTGTGGCACTGTAATTGGCAAACTGAGAGTGTGCTGTGCTTTAACTGTTAAGCGGTTTTCAAAGTAAAACCCTCACAGATTGTTTTTTTTTTTTTTATTAATTCTCTTTAAATGCCACAGCTATGTTCATAAATATAGATACAGTTGGACATGCAATTGGATGGATTGAATGGATTTTGAATCTCTAATGCCATTACAATTGCTTTTTAAACAAGTAATTGTTCATGCAACCCACCATCCAGCCAAATTTGAAAACATGTAGTGTTCCTATCCCTAATATGAACGAGTTAAAAGTGATTTGACTGTACACTGATTTGGATAGTTGTTGATTTGATGTGATTTGTTTGACCTCTTGCAGGTTCTGGAGAACTTTTCTGATGCCCCAATGACACCCAAACAGATTCTGCATGTCATCCAAACAAAGGGGCTCAAAGAAATGAGGTCTAGTATAAACTATTCATTAATATTCATGTACTGTGTTTCTGTTTGAGAAGAATTTTTTATGCTTGAGATTTGTTTTTTATGTTTGAGTACATTTTTGATGCCTCTTGACTGGGTTTGAGTATCTTTATGAAATTCTATTGTGTGTTTCTCTTTTTCTCAAACCTTTTTCACCCCAAAATAGAAGGTAAGATGAATTTCATTATCTATATTGTATTTTTACCTCTAAAAGAGTTTAATCTTACTTTCTTGAGCAGCACTTAGACATTTCTTCCCTACTTTCCATCCATCTTCAGTGGCACAGCTCCACTAGCCTGCCTGGTTACCATGCTTCACTCTCAGGTCAGAGGAGACAGAGTGAAGAACAGTATTTTCTTCAAGCTTCCTGGAAGGATGAGTTTGTTTACCCTAAAGGTAGTCTATAAATCCCTCTAGCTTCCTTTCAGTGCTTTACACATTTCACTCTGGTTTTGCAACTGGATTATGATGCCAAAACCCGCATAGAAAGAGCTACATATCCTGTGTCTGCATGTACCCACTGATGCCTACAGAAAAATGCACTTCAGTGGACAAAGAGCCCGACTGCAAATGAGTCTGGAGATGGGACTGGCACTCCAACAGCATCCACCACATCAACAGTTGAAGGAGCAGAGCAGGAGAGTTGTGACTCCACAGAGACGGCTGCTGCTAGTGGTGAAAATGATGGTGTGTGGACTATTCATTCTTTTCATTTTTTTCCCAGAATTGATTCATTCAGCCTCTTTTCCAGTAAGTGGAACAGGCTTATAAATTAAAGAAGCGTATAAAATAACTGAAAAGTAGAGGCCCCATCTTTTCATTTTAAGAAAAGCTATGATTCCAAATGGTGATGAGCATTAAATACCCTGAGCTTAAGAAGCATGTAGTGCCTGAGATACATTGATTTCTTTTTTGCTTTGGATGTGTGTGTTGCCATGGATACTGCGGCACATGACACATCCAGCAGTGACCTAGATGAGAGTGGTTTAGAACATGTATTTGTGTGTTGCGTGAAGGAGAATACGTGCACAATTATGCCTGGAAATGACAATGAAATTTCACATTTGATCTATTTTCTGAATTTGTGTGAAAATCTGATTCATTTTGTTCTTGATAGATGTGGAAGGATGGTATTTCAAAGGCTGATGTTTCTAGACATCAGCAGTATCTATTCTTTTCTTTTAAAAATATATTCACCATAACTAAAAATGCAAAAGATTACTAGATGTCATAAGCATTATAAGGCAATTACAAGTATTAAATTACTTGCATGTGTTTTCTACCCCTGAATTGGGTGCTGGAACCCAGTATTTATCTTGATTTATCTTTTTTCCTCTGGTTTAGAAAGTATATGGAATGGAATACATGCATATTTACCACCTATCGCAAAGTATAAATTACATATACTACCTATCATTATTAATTATAAATGGTATGTGGGGGAAAAATGTATACTATGATAAATATTTTCTCTCTTCAGAATCTGATCAGTCAGGAAATAGCTGCTATTCTATCGGGTTCCTGCAGGTTCTTAAAATGTTTTAAAATTAGTTTGATCAAAATCGTATATCTTGAACGGTATAACTTTTAATGATCTTTTTGAAAAGGTGTTAAATTTGAGGACAGATAGACAGGAATTGCAATACAGCCTAATGTGATGACTAAACTTTAAAAGGCTGTGATTTTAGTAAATAAATATGATCTTTGCATGTTTTACTGGCTCACGGGTTCAGAGCAGTTTATAATCAATGAATAGCTTACGTTTATGACAAGTGATTACTTATCATTAGCAACACCAAGTAGCCACCGAGAGGCTAGATAGTGGGGGAACTCATTTACACGCATCCTTGCAATCAAAAGCAATATTTTTTTTTGTGCATTTTATTGTGGTGAAGCATATGAGGGCAAATGCAATGTAAACGCAACACGCGGCCAACAGAAGGTTGCCTTTCTCTCTACTCCCCAATACCCAACCATCAACCTACAATACATAACAAAGAAAACATAAATGTTCACCTATGCCCATGTGTTAGTAAATAACGCGTGAGAAATGACAATGAATTACTGCTCCTCCCACACTATTGATTAATTATGACGATGTTTACTTGTGGTATTTACATTGTAATGTGCTGTAGATAGTTGTAAAGGTGTATATTTAATCTTATCTTTTTAATAAGCAGCTGAAATGAGAAACAATATTTTACAAAAATGTTAAAGTGAAGAAATTATCATTTGTCAGCATTTTTTTCCCTTTTCTCTCTGTGTATCAAACTGACACAAGAACAGGATTAAAATGTGATTTGCTGCAGTAATATTGTTGATGGATGTTCTGCTTGTTTCCTCTTTGTTCCAGCTTCTGTGGATGAGACTTCCTCCAGTGCCTCTTGCTCCACAGAACCACAGACAAGACTCAGTCGCTCCTCACAGGTACCAGCAGTGCCTAACTTCACCTTTGCACTGAACCATCACCTTCATAACTAATTTTTACATGCAGGACCCTCCAAGAATGGATTTCCATCTCACCATCATTCTTATGCACAGCACTCAACTCCTCCTCAGAATCACCAGTTATGCCAGAAGGCAGTTGAATGCATGGCGTCACTATGTAAAAATGAGTCATTAGTGAAGTGCCGAAAGTTGACGTTATGAGTCAAATCAAGAAAACCCCACAGATAACGCTGACAACATTAGTCATGACTAAGACCTTTTGCTTTTTGCGCTGTCGTTTCAATTTCAGGCCGGGGATTTCTTGATTTTAATAAATCATCAGGTTCTAAACAGATCATTTGCTTGGTTGATCATTTACAGTAAATGCAGTAAAATATTTTGTGATTTAAGCACTGAATCCACAAGAAACTTGCACCAATCAGCAGATTTTGAAACTTAAAGCTGCCTTCATGCTTTTCCCCTCTCATTTGATTAATGTTGAACTTAGACGCTTGCACTGCTTGTCAGTCTCGCAATCCCCTGCCAGCCACTCAGCTCCCATAGAGAATGAGCTGAAAACTGTCATCTCCAGGACACTTACACATTGTCCTTTCCTTTTATATTCTTCGTACCTGCATTAATCTTAATATTTTATTGGTAAAATCCTAACATTCTCAACTTTTACCAGGCATATGCATTTCCATTTAAATTCTCCTCCGAGCATGCTGTTATTTTCCATGTCTGTGGAGGACCTGTGTGTATGTGCTCATGATTATTTCTCCCATCTCTCTTACAGTCAGGGAGACAGAGGAAGCAAGCTGTGATGATGCCCCGTGTAGTGCTCACTCCTCTCAAGGTCAACGGTGAACACGTCCCATCAGGTTATAATAGCTCTTTTTCTTGTTCACTTTTTTTCTCCCCCTTCTTTCTGTTTTCCCCCCACTCTGCAGTGGTTTTGTATACCTGCTCCCTCTGACTGTGGATGCTCTTTATCTGAGTGGCCTGACAGTGTTTGTAATTTTACGCACTGACACTCTAATCATTTATAGTGCAGTCTCCTCAAGGGCAGTTTTCCCACAGTTCCCTCCTGTTGACAGCCGCCGCCTCTATTTCTTGGTTAACTTTGCACTAAAAGCAGCATCTTTTCTAGAATCCGCTGACGTGTTTGTCACTTGAACGTTAATACCCCTCAGTGTAAAAGCAGTGTTTCTGGTTTGTCCTGTCAGCCCTGCTCTGTTCCCCTTGGATATCTGCTTTGCATTTGCGCCTTAGAGATATCCATTCACCCGTCTTCCTCTTTTTCTCTGTGCCTTTGGATATCCGTCCCTTTGACTTTTCGTGTTTCACACACATGCCAAATCTTTGCCTGTCACTTTGGCCTCTTTAGTGCCACTAGCCTTCATACCTCAGCTGCCCTACCCACACTCACTCGTCCTCAGAGAGTCTCACCAGCCTCCATCCTCCCCCCACCTTTACCCTCAGGAGCAGCGGGGAGGCGCAGGGAAGGCTCTAGGGGGGGTCCAGGCCCCACTCTCCGTACCCGCTCCGAGCTGGGCTGGAAACGCACCCAGCACTTCAAGAGCATACGTGGTCTTCGTTCAGGTACAGAGGATGAAAACCAAGGACCCCCATGTATTAATTACTACCCCTAAGCCCCTTGCTTACCACTTTCCATAGAACGTCAGTACTTCAATAACTCCTTTCCAGGTATTACACAGAGGGGGTGAATAGCTAACAAGTTATAACAAACATAACGAACTTATTTCTAACCAGAAATTAAGGCATTTGGATGGAGTAGGGAAAATAAACAAATAACCAATTATTCAATTAGTTTGTTTTATCATTTATTATTTGCAGTGGTTGGTTTCATGCAAACAAAGGTGTATGTGTATTTTTTGCCTTGATCCTATTAAATGGAGGACATAGGTTGCTATGTGTAATTGTGTATCTTGTCATGCAGGTTTCTCAAAGTGTGTAAAAATGTGTTTTGACCTCAAACACTGGTCAAAACTTTAGTCTATTGCAGAGTACCAACCATGGTTTGTCTTTGTCAGGTTTTTTTTTCTTTTTCTTTTTCAGTGTCAGTGTACTTTGTTTTATTCTGTCAGATCTAGCGAAGACCAGCTTAGTGGGAGACTGTCATGTCTACATGTCTATTTTCATTGAAGATATGTTTTGTAGTGTGCATTATGCTTTGGTTTATTAATTGCAGCACTGGCTGATGTAATGTTCAATTGATAAAGTAAAAGCTGTGTGGATTGATCAATAGCTCAGGTGGAATTAAACTATTATTATTGCTTTATTAGTTCTGCCATAACACCCTCTGATTATTTAGATTTACTAGCGCTTTGAATTCATATTATCGTACACTCACAGTTTTGTGAATGTAGACCAGAGTCTGCTCTAAAGATATTTACATAATTATGTCCCTGCCGTGCAAGGTTTCATTAAGCAATGATCTTATGTGCACTCAATGTAAGACTATATGTTGCAGGTCCCATGAAAAGGAATCGAGGGGGAGTGGAGGTGGATTTTGAGACTCCAGGCTCCATCCTAGTCAACACCAACATTCGTGCTCTCATCAACACACGCACATTTGCTGCTTTTCCTCCTTACTCCCAGCAGCAACTACTCCAGCTTTTACCAGAGGTGGACAGACAGGTATGTTTCTTAAAGGGTTTTTAATTTTCACTTGTTACAGTTATATTTGTACTTTTTTTTTTCTCTCTCTTTTTTTGCTTCTCACCGAATTTTTCAATTCTTTTAATGTGTAGGTTGGCCCTGATGGCCTTGCTCGACTAAGCAGCTCGGCCCTCAATAATGAATTCTTCACTCATGCATCCCAGAGCTGGAAAGAGCGTCTAGCTGAGGGTAAGTCTCTTAGTATTGTTCTGTAATATATGTAAAGAAATGACAGAAACTGACCAAGACAGGTTGCTATAGGTAGTTTACTATAATGGTGGATAAAGTGGGAATGTTTTTACTCTCTTGAAGGTGAGTTCACGCATGAGATGCAGGTTCGCTTCAGGCAAGAGATGGAAAAGGAGAAGAAAGTAGAAGCATGGAAGGAGAAATTCTTTGAGGAGTACCATGGCCAAAGGTTTGATAGCCTTTTTAAAATATTCTTAAACAGCTTAATTCCTAGAATTATGATGTTGATTTAAATGAATTTTTTTCCCATTTATTTCTTTAGGTCTGGGTTGACGAGAGAAGAGGCATTAAAGCTCACAATGAGTGATGCTGGAGATGTTGCCAGTGCAGTTCTTGACTCTGATTCTGCTACAGTGGCTACACCCAAGAGGCGAAGTGTTGGAAGAAGACGGAGGGAAGGCCGTATCAGACGGCGTTCACGGGCTGACCTCAGACGCAGAGCTCGGCGAACACTTTGCAAAACTACAACGGTAGCTGTACCTTCAGCAGAGACAACAGAAAGCACTGCAACTCCAGATGTTGAACCATCAGTTGCATCACCAGTCCCAGAAGCGACAGCAGTTCAGAGAGAGGTTGTCCTTCAAACAGACCTCGGACTGGAAGCTCCAGAAGAAAACCTTTCTGAAGAGGCAGTTTCCTCTCCAGCTCCTGCACCCACACCTCCTCCAGCTTCTACAAGCTCAACCTGCGATGAACCAGAAGCCTCCACACGCCTGTTGTCTGAAGTACCTGAACCAGCTGTTGCATCCACTTCCTCTCCTTCCTCATCCTCCTCTTCAACATCATCATCATCATCATCATCATCGCCCTCTTCTTCTCCCTCTTCTGCCTCAGAGAGACAGACTTTTGCTGCAAGCTCAGATTCCTCTTCTTCCTCTTCCTCCTCCACTGCTGCTGTTGCCACCGACCCGCTGGATGATGGGGCATCGGTCATTACCACTGGTACAGCGGGCACTGGTGCAAGCAGCCGAGAGAGCAGCCCCGCTGCTAGTCCTGCCACAGCAAGTCCAGCAATTCAGCTCAAGGAGCAGAAGAGAAGACCAGATGAGTCCCAGGCCTTCACCAGCTTTCCCGAGAAAAGGGCGCGGCTGGATGAGCGTCAGTCCTTTCGTAACACAGTTGACTGTGTGCACTCAGAAAAGCCACAACCTACAACAGAGGAGCCCAAGGTCCCGCCAATCCGGGTATGTTGGACACGTTATTTTTTCCAGATTAGTCTCTTGTACACCTCGTTGTAACAGTATTTATGTAAACCACAACTCATATGAGTGTTTCTCTTCTGCCCATTCCACTAGATACAGCTCTCCCGGATCAAACCGCCCTGGGTCAAGGGGCCGCCAACGTACCAAATCTGTCCCCGCATCGTCCCCCCCAATGAAGGGTCACGGCGCTCTGGGACAGGGGCGCGCACCCTGGCGGACATCAAGGCCCGTGCA